TTTTTTTTTTAATTTTGGTTTTCGAATTGAATTTTGAATGCCTCCACGCGGTCTTAGTCCCAAAATGGTTGATGTAACTCCGGTAACCCATATAATCATACGATGGGTTCTAAGAATAGTTTATTAGTAGACGAATTATTCTATCAGAATCGAGGATACTATAGAATCTCGTCATATCGTGAAGCTCCAATACGAAATGTGCGATGTACTTTACTAACCTGTCGGTAAGTCATGATTCACTATAAGAACTTACGTTCAATGAAAGTCCTATAGCTATTCCACCTAATATTCTGGATATACATAATATTTCTATCCCATTTGCGAAGTACATCAACGCCCAAGAAATTAGATTACAACTGCCTGCTGCAATTAAAACGGCTTTCCTTCCAAAAATATCCATTATCCAAATAGTGATGATGCTACCCAATGTTCCACCTACACCGTTCATACTTACAACAGTTGATGATTGAATCTATAGGTAAAATAGAAAATAAATTAATAAGTCTAATATTTTACATGTTTAATCGAATTTATTTGATCGTTGGAACGAAAACTGTTCTACTTAACTGTATTAAGTATAACACCTATTGGCGAATTTTTAGACCGTATTTGAGGCAGAAATGTCGAAGACCAAGAGTCATGAATAGATGCGGCGGCCGTAGTTGCAATTGCTTGTTAGAAAAATACACAAGTATTAAATACGAACATTATTTTGTTCTGTTTTTTTTGGTACATACCACAAATACAGTAAATATACTGCCTATGCCGCAAATTTAACAACTTTTTCCGTAACATCCTGCCTGCCTGTAAAGAAAAATGCACCGTCTACTTTACGGATAACTTCAAAAGTAATTGAATTGTGTCACATACGTATTATTTATTCAAATACCTACTACACTGTAGAGATAATAATAAATAATTGATACTTATATCTCCACGTCCGCCTTTTACAAAAACGAGTTATTGAAAAAAAATATGTTTAGAAGAACGATAAGCAGTTTCAATTACCCGTATTATCATAGTAATTGTAATGTTTATAAAGGAGATTGGTGATTTTTAAGTTTCATTTCACAGAAATGAATATCTACGTAGAAAGCATTTCTTGATTAATCGAACAAGTGGTACAACGCAAGAGCCAACGAATGACAAGAGATTACATCTGTCTGTATAGTTTCTATCTTATTGTGAATAATACGTAGTTATCCCTTTTGGGATCATGGATCATGTACACAACAACGTCTATGTCATTAATCACAGGTATTCGTCTAGTTTCGTCACTCATTCCGAGAGAGTTGGTAACCCTAAACGACCCGAGGAAGTTATTAAACTCTCTATCGTATTCTATTTGTTCTAATTTAAGACTAACTTTATGCCCTAACATGTTTAATTAATTTCCGCATACTAGGGTAAATG